CAGAAAACGAGGGCTGCTCAGTCACAAAAGGGAAAGGAAAATGGAAGGAAATTCTTGCCTCTGAGGGAGGGGAAGTGGACAGGGGTATCACATACAGCAATTACACTGGCTTCCTATTTGCTCCTGAGCTCAGTTCAAGGTTTGACCTTGAAAGCCCTTCATGGCTTCGGAGTGGGGTATCTGAAGGATGGCCTTCTCCCATATGTTCCTGCCCAGGAAGTAAGATCACAGGGAGAGGCCCTCCTGTCTCACCAATCAAAGAAGCTTGTTCGGTGGGCAAACGGGAGAGGGCTTTTTGGTGGCAGCCCCACGATTCTGGACCAACCTCCCCAGCAGTGTTCCCTCTAAGCTGAGTTAGTGTGAGCTAGCTCACAGTTTTTTTAGCCTCTGGCTCACACATTTTTGTCTTAGCTCAGGGAGGATGGCTCCAGAGCAAACTAATTTATGCAGCAGCCAAGTCGCTCGCTCAGAACTTTAATGCCAGGAACTCACAAAGGAGACTTTTTGCTCACAAGACTCCACAGCTTAGAGGGAACATTGCTCCCCAGGGCGGTGCATTTCGCCCCCTCACTTTCAACCTTCAGGAGGCAGCCGAAGACGCTTTTATTTAGGACTGCATGTGACTAATTTAGTTTTGATTGAGCGGTGGTCCTAATTGAAGATTTTAAATCATGGTCTCCTGCGTTTGTTTGTTTTTTCAAATAATTGCCTTCTTTGCATTGTAAGCCATCCTGGAGTCCCAAAGGTAGAAAGGGGGCTAATATGCGTTTAAAATCAATCAGTACCGAGGCCCACCAAGCCCAACATGGCCTGCTCCGAGGAGCAGTGGCTCTCCCACATCTCATGTGGAGGTCTTCCCTAGCCCCGACAGTGGATATGTGGCAGACTGAACAAGGAACCTTCTGCATAGAACCATAAAGTTGGAAGGGACCTCCAGGGTCACCTAGTCCAACCCACTGCATAAGGCTGGAAATTCACAAATACCTCCCCCTCCACACCCTCAGTGATCGCTGTTCCATGCCCAGAAGATGACAAAAAACCCTGTTATAGCTGTTGTTATAAACCATTGAGGAAGACTACTGATGTTAAATGTTAACTATGTTAAATTTTTGTTTTAAAAAGCAATAGAAATGTTAATTACAAAACAAAAACAAATGCCAGTTTGGTGTAGTGGTTAAGTGCGCGGACTCTATTCTGGGAGAACCGGGTTTGATTCCCCAATCCTCCACTTGCACCTGCTGATGTGACCTTGGGTTAGTCACAAGCTCTGGCACAGCTGTCCTTGAAAAAGAGCAGTTTGTGTCAGAGCTCTCTCAGCCCCACCCACCTCACAGGGTGCCTGTTGTGGGGAGGGGAAGGGAGAGGAGTTTGTAAGCCGCTCTGAGGATTGAACCTGGGACCTTCTTGCATACCAGGCAAGTGCTTTCACCACTGAGCCACAGTCCCTCCCCCAAATACACATGAAAATTCCAATGGCTTTCACGATGCACCGTGTTTTCTCGCTGTGCGGCTGACGAGCTCTCTCTTGCTCAAGGAAGCCGACGAGGGAGTGAAGAGAAATCAAAGCCCAAGTCTTTGCATTCACATGCCTGAGCCCTGAATTAGACCATCAGGCGCCCATCGAGGTCAGTATTTCCTACTCAGGCTGGCAGCAGCTCTCCAGGGTCTCAGGCCCTTTTGCCTCACCTACCACCTGGTCCTTTTAATTGGAGATTGAACCTGGGACCTTCTGCATGTCAAGCAAAGGCTCTGCCACTGGGCCATAGCCCCTCTTGACAGCTTTCCAGGGTCTCAGGCTGAGGTCTGTCACATCACTTCCTGCCTGGTCCTTTTAACTGGAGATGCCGGGGATCGAACCTGGGACCTCCTGCAGGCCAAGCAGATGGTCTCCCACTGAACTACGGCCTTTCACCTCACCAGATTTGTTGATCTGGCTTCTGCTTTGGGCCACAGAAGCAAGCGTGCGCCAAAGGCAAACATTAGGGGCCTCCAATCTCCCCCCTCCAAGCGGCAACTGATGATCGCCTACCCCCTCCCCACCTCTCCGGCTATTCATCTTCTCACACACCGATTTCCCATCTTCCTCATCTAATGCATTTATTCATTTATGTGTTGGTTTGGGTTTTTTTTAGAAAAAAAATATTCCAGACTGCGTAGAGAGAATGAGGCCCTCAAGGCAGCTTACGACAAACATAAAACGTAGAAATCAAGACATTAAACAACACTCCAACAAAACCCCAGTCGCCTTCTTAAATATAACAGCAATATTAAAACAGCAGACGTAATTAAACATTTTAAAACGTGGCTGGAAAAATTTCAGACTTAAAAAACCAAATTATGTCGGAATGCCTCCCCAAAGACCTCTGCGGACTCCGGACTTCAATCTATCGAGTGCATTTTTACCCTTCCGTTTTTCAGAGAGCTCACGGTTTCCCACCCCCTTTATCCTCACAACAACCCCAGAAGGTAGTGACTGGCCCAAGGCTGCCCAGAGAGCTTCCACGGCAGACCAGGAGATTCGAACCCAGACCTTTCAAATCCTAGTTTGGATACTGTAACCTCTAAAACCCGGAGTCCCCAACCTTTTTGAGTCTGTGGGCACCTGTGGAATTCTGACATGGCATTGTGGGCGCAGCCACAAAATGGCTACTACATAATGGCTGCAGCCAGGGGTGGAGCTGGCCACAAAATGGCTGCCGCAGCTTAACTTCAGTCACACAGTGAAAACCCTTTGGCCGTGGTGGCCAAAGCAAGATTGTTAAAGATATGCAGGGCCAATGAAATGGCCAATGGCCAACCACAAAGCTCGCTGGGCAAAAGCTTTCTAAAAAACACCCTCCAGGTATCAGTTGGGGACGCCTGCCCTAAACTACACTGGGTTCCGGTCACTTCTCTGTTTAGCACTCAGCCCAGCCAGAATTAGTCAAGCCTTTTGAACTCGGGCTGGGTTTCTTAAAAATCTCTTCTAGAGCTTTCCCTTTGCCCCCCATTTCTGAGGCAGGCAAGTATGCTAAAGTGCCGTTCAATGTTCCCTCTAAGCTGTGGAGTCTTGTGAGCAAAAATTCTACTTTGTGAGCTGCTGGCATGAAGGTTGTGAGCGAACGATTGGGCCGCTGCATAAATGAGTTTGCTCTGGAGCCCTCCTTCCTGAGCTAAGGCAAAAGTGTGTCAGCCGGAGGCTAAAAAACTGTGAGCTAGCTCACACTCACTCAGCTTAGAGGGAACACTGGTGCCGTTACAAAGAGCCTCTTCCAAGCCACCTGGTGCAAAGAGAGATCAATTTTTTTTGCACCTTCCACCAGATGGCACTCCCGTTCAGGGGGCAGAGAGGCACATGCATTCACTTTGAGGGCTCCTAGATGCATCTGGTCTGTTGGTGGCGGCGGCTTCCCTCCCAGAGCCCCAACACTTTACAACTCCCGCGGGTGTCTCACGACAATCGGGACGAGGAACAGGGGCCTTCTGGCCAGCCCTGCTGTGCTTTAAAAGGATAAGAGGAAGTCCTTCTTCACACAAAGAGTGATTAACACTTGGAATTCACTGCCACAGGAAGTGGTGGCGGCTACAAGCATGGACGGCTTCAAAAGGGAATTAGATAAGCATCTGGAGCAGAGGTCCATCAGTGGCTATTAGCCACAAGGTATAGATAGGGACTCTGGGGCAAGTGATGCTCTGTCATCTTGGTGCTTGGGGGGGTCAACAGTGGGAGGGCTTCTAGTGTCCTGGCCCCACTGGTGGACCTCCTGATGGCACTGGTATTTCTGGCCACTGTGTGATACAGAGTGTTGGACTGGATGGGCCTTTGGCCTGATCCAACATTGGCATCTCTTATGTTCTTATGTTCTTATGTTTATGGCAAAACACAAGAGAGAGGAGGTTTCAATGGCTGGGGTGCCCTCCCAGGTATCAGTATAACCCCCCCACACACACACACACAGAACACACCGGCTGCCTGTTTCTGGGACAGGCGAGGACCTTTGCCTGGTCAACAATTAGATTCAGGCTTTGTCCATATGACCTTTAATGTGGTACCCCTGAGGGCCTGCCAACACCCTTCCTGGTTCCCACCAAGTGTTTGTAGAAAGTGTGGGGGCACTTGCCCAACAGAATAAGAAGAGGAAGAAGAAGAAGAGGAAGAAGAAGAGGAGGAGGAAGAGGAGGAAGAGGAAGAAGAGGAGGAGGAGGAGGAGGAGATTGGATTTATACCCTGCTCTTCACTCGGAGTCTCAAAGCATCTTACAATCTCCTTTCCCTCCCCCTCTCAACAACAGACACCCGGTGAGGTAGGTGGGGCTGAGAGAGCTCTGAGAGAACTGCCCTTTCAAGGACAGCTCTGACAGAACTATGGCTTGCTCAAGGTCATCCAGCAGCTGCAAGTGGAGGAGCGGAGAATCAAACCCGGTTCTCCCAGTCCACGCACTCAACCACCACACCAAACTGGCTCTCAGGGGGACCCCTGCTCTAGGTGCTTTTTGTTGTCGTGGTTAGCAGCGCAGACTCTAATCTGGGAGAACCGGGTTTGATTCCCCACGCCTCCACATGCAGCTGCGGGTGTGACTTTGGGTCAGTCACAAGTTCTCTGAGAGTTCTTCTCTCAGGACCAGTCCTCGAAAGAGCTCTCTCAGCCCCACCGACCTCACAGGGTGTCTGTTGTGGGGAGGGGAAGGGAGAGGAGTTTGTAAGCCGCTCTGAGACTCCTTTGGGTCGTGAAGGGCGGGGGTTATCAATCCAAATCTCTTCTTCTTCTCTTCTAAACGGCCCCACTTTCTTTTCTGCTCTTCAGCCACTTGCAAAACCAGGCTCAACCATTTCCTTCCAAACTTCTGGATTATTCTGCTGGGACTCAGACCTCCGGAATGCTGGGCCCTCTCAGCTGTCCACGCCACAGTACTGACGGGGACACAGATACACACCCCACCAAAAACGCTGGGCATTGAACGTTAACAATAGGAGAAGCCCCGACCAATCAGCGTGGCCCCCGCGGACTGCCCCTCACTCACCTGCACCAGCAGCCAGGAGAACACCACGGCCACCCACGGGTTTCCAGCAGAGGACGTCCGCTTCGCCGGGACTAGAACTTTGCCTTTGTAGGGAGAATGGGATAGTGGTGGTGGAGAGAAAAGAGGGTGTGTAAGAGCAGAATTTCCTTTAAGGAGATGTTTCCCAAACTACACGAGGAGGGGTCATAAGAACATAAGAGAAGCCATGTTGGATCAGGCCAGTGGCCCATCCAGTCCAACATTCTGTGGGTGATTCCAGACTAGTACAAATATTTATTAAGGTGTACACAAGTTAAGTGGAGCTGCGGTGGCTCAAGTGGTTAAGACGCTGAACTGCAGGCTGTGGAAGGTCAGTAGTTCAGCGGTTCAAGACCTGGGTGCCGCAAGACAGGGTGAGCTCCTGTCTCTAGTTCCAGCTCCTGCCAACCTAGCAGTTTGAAAGCAAGAAATTGCAAGTAGATAAATAGGTACCGCTTCGGTGGGAAGGTAACAGCGTTCCGTGCGCCTTGGTGTTTAGTCATGCCGGCCACATGACCACGGAAACGTCTTCGGACAGCGCTGGCTCTTTGGCTTTGAAACGGAGATGAGCACCGCAACCCTAGAGTCGGGTTCGACTGGCTTTCGAGCAAGGGAACCTTTACCTTTACACAAGTTAAAACTTTCCTGATTAAAAATTACTTTGTCTAAGATCAGACTATAAAAGCTTATCCTCTGTACATACATATGATGGGTAGATACTTTACAACTGAAGACCAAATGCGTTTCAGCCCCTAAGGGCCTTCCTCAGTGGTCACTATTATCTATATATTCTGTCGCAGAGGGTCTGTCGCAGCTAAGCTATGCAGGAGAAAATGCATTTCCAACCTGCTTCCTGGGCTAGAAGAACCCTGGACTCCCGGCCTGCCGCTTCTCGCAAAAAAACGACTGAGCTGGCATGCCAGACGCAAAAGTGCTCGGTGGGGCAGCCCTCACAGACAAGGAAGAGGGACAGTAAAATATTTCTCCTCTGGCAGGATGAACACAGGTGGCGACAAAAGCCAAGCGTGTTCTCGTTGGTCGTCCCCCAGTCGCCTGGAGACGAGGACTCCCAGCGCTTCCAAGAGGTCTGTCTCTCCGCTCGGGAACCGAGCCCCGTCAGCACCTGCCAAGTGACGGCGCGGGCGACCCGGGAGCTTCCAACAGAATGCTACGCCGCCCGGGCAGACTGCCAGCGAGAGAGAGGACTTCGGAAGGACAGCCAAGCTGGAGCGGGGAAAGCCACCGGAGAGAGACTCGGACGGGGAGCCAAGTCGGACGGGAGGAAGGGGACGCAGAGGACGGAGGCGAGGAGCCGGAGACCTACTTCTGGCGCTCCCGGCTAGGAAGTTCTCGCTCTGGGGGGTACTGAACGTGTCCCTGGAGTCTCCCAAAGCAGTTTGCATTGCAGGGATATTGCATGCGAGTGTGCCCAACTGTTAATTAAAGGTAAAGGTAAAGGTTCCCTTGCTCGAAAGCCAGTCGAGCCAAAGAGTGATTAACACTTGGAATTCACTGCCACAGGAAGTGGTGGCGGCTACAAGCATGGACGGCTTCAAAAGGGAATTAGATAGGCATATGGAGCAGAGGTCCATCAGTGGCTATTAGCCACAAGGTATAGATAGGGGCGCTGGGGCAAGGGATGCTCTGTCTTCTTGGTGCTTGGGGAGGCCAACAGTGGGAGGGCTTCTAATGTCCTGGCCCCACTGGTGGACCTCCTGATGGCACTGGTATTTCTGGCCACTGTGTGATACAGAGTGTTGGACTGGATGGGCCTTTGGCCTGATCCAATATTGGCGTCTCTTATGTTCTTATGAGTCCAGCTCTAGGGTTGCGGTGCTCATCTCCGTTTCAAAGCCAAAGAGCCAGCGCTGTCCAAAGCCGTTTCCGTGGTCATGTGGCCGGCATGACTAAACACCGAGGCGCACGGAACGCTGTGACCTTCCCACCGAAGCGGTACCTATTTATTGCTTTCGATACTGCTGGGTTGGCAGGAGCTGGAACTAGAGACGGGCGCTCACTCCGTCATGCGGCACACTCGGGTCTCGAACTGCTGAACTACCGGCCTTCCACAGCCTGCAGCTCAGCGTCTTAACCACTTGAGCCACCGCAGCTCCTTTTAATTGTGTTAATTACACAACTGTTAATTGCAGGCCTGTTAACTGAGACACCCAAGTCTAGAGACCTGCTGGGCAGGCGGAGGTATTTGTGTGGCGCCAGAAAGGAGTCAACTTCCTAGCTGGTTCCTGAGCCACCCTTCCTTAGAGAAGACTGTCGGTCCCCCACAAGAGGCATTCCTCAGCTTCTCTGGGCAGGGGTGCAACGGGCCCCGCCTCAGGTTACTCACCAAAGAGATCGTCCTTGGCCAAGGCGTACAGGATCCGGGAGGCACCGATGAGGTTACTCATGGCGGCCGAGAGGGTGGAGCAGTAGACGCCGATGGTGACCAAGGGCGACCAGATGTTGATGTCCTTCAGGAAGCCGTAGTCCCGCTGGAGGAGGCGCCTGGGGGGGAGAACGAGAGGGCACAGAGGACCAGGAGGTTAGGAAGGAAGGAAGGAGCACCAGGAAGCGCAACGGAGGCTACACGGAGAGGGGCACGGCAAGCTCCGAAAATCAGGGACCTCCGAAAATCAGGGACGAAGGGAAAGTTTGGCAGGAGATAGTCTGTTGCTGCATGGTATCCAAAGAAGTGAGCGGCGACTCACGAAAGTGTTGGAGGTTGCAGATGCAGTGTCCCCTGTCTCAGACCTCCAAACTGAGTGGCAAGAGAGACTAAATAGCTAGATCGCCACGCTGACCTTTCTTCCTGTCTCTACTCTTCTGCCACTGTCCCCTTTGGAATGCAGACTGTGCTCTTGGGGACCCATTTCCCCTTCCTTCCATTCTCTCACTCACATGCAGATGAAGACGAGCTCTCTCCCTGCACACACCAAGAGAGGGACATGCGGTCCTCTCCTGGCACCATGAGGCAGATGGGCCTCTCGTCATCTGCTTCCATCCTTCAGCTAGTAAGTTAGTACTCTATCACGTCCCTACTCTGTCCTATCCAAAGTGTGTTTCTCAAATAAAGAGAGGAGTATTTCTCTTCTAAGCTTGCCAGGTGGCTCTGTGTAGCTTTGTAAGCTGAGTAACCTGGTAAAGTGACACTCCTGCGTTTGTAGCTTTATTTAAGCACTCTGCCAACCAACGGTGACTGGACGAACCCCACCAGTTAACCTCAACAGAAAGCTCATACCCTACCACGTATTTTGTTAAGCCTTTGGTGTAGTGGTTAAGTGTGCGGACTCTAATCTGGGAGAACCGGGTTTGATTCCCCACTCCTCCACTTGCACCTGGCTGGATGACCTTGGGCAAGCCGTAGCTCTGATAAGAGCTGTTCTTGAAAAAAGAGCAGTTTCTGTCAAGAGCTCTCTCAGCCCCACCTCCCTCACAGGGTGCCTGTTGTGGGGAGGGGAAGGGAAAAGGAGTTTGTGAGCCGCTCTGAGACACCTTTGGGTAGTGAAAGGTGGGGTATAAATCCAATCTCTTCTTCTTCTTCTTCTTCTCTCAGAGCTCTCTCAGCCCCACCTTCCTCACAGGGTGTCTGTTGTGGGGAGGGGAAGGGAAAGGAGTCTGTAAGCCGTTCTGAGACACCTTTGGGTAGTGAAGGGCGGGGTATAAATCCAATCTCTTCTTCTTCTTCTTTTACCTCACCGGGTGTCTGTTGTGGGGAGGGGAAGGGAGAGGAGTTTGTAGGCCACTCTGAGACTCATTTGGGTAGTGAAGGGCGGGGTATAAATCCAATCTCTTCCTCCTCTTCTTCTTTAAGGTGCTACTGGACTCTTGCTCTTTTCTACTGCTACAGACAAACATGGCGGCCCATCTTGATCTAGCTGTGAGCAACAACACACTACACTGGTTACCCATCTGGTTCTGGGCACTAGGGATGCCAGCCTCCAGGTGGGACCTGGAGATCCCCTGGAATTACAGCTCATGTCCGAATGACAGAGGTCGGTTCCCCTGGAGAAAACGGATGCTTTGGAGGATGGACTCTAGGGCAGGGGAGTTGAACTCGTTTGTTATGAGGGCCGGATCTGACCTAAATGAGACCTTGTTGGGCCGGGCCACGTGTGTCACAAAATGTAATGCCGGGTTGCGGAGTTATAAACTTTATAAAGGACATGAACACAAAGGGTGTTTTGTTTTTTTTACTTAAAATAAAAACATGCTTAAAACATCGGCACTCTTGCGATATTTTGTTTATTTAACGGTGTCTGATCACGGACACCTCTTGCTCTGAATGATTGCATCAAAATGTCTGTGCCATTGCAATCTTGAGTGTGCTGTTCAGGTGTGTCTCTGTAAAGCTGCAAACCTACGATGACGCAGAAGCAGCAGAAGTGGAAGAAGAAGCATAAGACAGCCAGTTCCACTGCGGGCCTGATAGAAGCCCTCCGGGGGCCTGATCCGCCCCCCGGGCCGCATGTTTGACACCCCTGCTCTAGGGCATGGTGCCCCACTCAGGTCCCCAGACTCCATCCCCAAATCTCCAGGAGTTTCCGATCCTGGATCTGGAAACCCTAAACCCCCACCCCCATCCCCTGCCGGTGGAATGGGGGGACCTGGCAGTGGTGACCCTACCGGGCATCATTTCAAAGTCCTGGTTCGTACCTGTAAGGCGATAAATGGCATGGGGTCAAGGAGGGCTTCCAATGTCCTGGCCCCACTGGTGGACCTCCTGATGGCACTGGTATTTCTGGCCATTGTGTGCCAGATGGTGCTGGATGGGCCATCAGCCTGATCCAACATTGGCATCTCTTATGTTCTTATGTACCATAAAGACGGCTTCCTTCCATGCTATCCATCCTGACAGGTAAGATCTGCCTCTCAAATCTTAATCTCTGAGAAGCGAGCTAGGTGGTAACGACAGGTGGTAAAACTACAGGTTTCAGGCGGAGGCTGGACGACCATCTTTCAGGTATGTTGTAGGGCTATCTTTCGGCTATGCTCCTGCAGAGTGCAAGGGGTTGGACTAGATGACCTGCAAGGTCCCTTCCAACTCTAACGTTCTATGATTCTATAAAGGTATTTTCTGTATTTGATGAGCTGGGGGGCGGGTGTAGAGGGCAATGCTCCCTCTAAGCTCTGGAGTCTCGTGAGCAAAAAATCTATTTCGTGAGCTCCAGGCATGAAAATTGTGAGCGAGCGATGTGGCTACTGCACAAATTAGTTTCCTCTGGAGCCATCCCTCCTGAGCTAAGACAAAAACGTGTGAGTTGGAGGCTTAAAAGCTGTGAACTAGCTCACACTCACTCAGCTTAGAGGGAACGCTGGTTGGGGGCAACACTCCCCCTAAGCTGTGGAGTCTTGTGAGCAAAAATTCTACTTTGCGAGCTCCTGGCATTCAAGTGGTGAGCGAGCGACTGGGCTGCTGCATCAATTAGTTTGCTCTGGAGCCGCCCTTCCTGAGCGGAGACAAAAAGGTGTGAGCTGGAGGCTAAAAAAACTGTGAGCTAGCTCACACTAACTCAGCTTAGAGGGAACACTGGTTGGGGGGCAGAGGGAATGACCGACACACTCCATGGCACGGACACGGTCGATCTGTCTCAAAAGTTAAGTGCCCCCCCCCCTTACAAGGCAGCGACTGATGGAACTTCACGCTGGCCAAAATTCAATAAGGGGCGGGGACGACAACGACACACACACAGAACTTTCACGAACATTATTAAAGTATACAAATGGCCGGGCCTTAATTAGATTTTAACAAGAGGCACCAAACGGGTGGGCGATAAATTAGCACGGACTATCAACGCCACTGTCTTTCAGCAATTAATATCCAATTACCTCTCCAAATTGATCGCCTGGCTAATCAGCGTGACCGAGGGGGTGGGTGTGCACAGGCCCAGTGGAGGGGTTCCTCCCTTTGATGTACTCCCCCCCCACACACACACTTAGCTTTGAGGGAGTCCCTCAGATATGATGATTTAGGGAGTGGATGCATGTATCATTCCGGCACATGGGAGTGGCGTATTTCCCAGGCATCACCACCACCACAGCACAGAGGAGCTAAGGAAGGTCAGAAGAAGAAAAGAGGAGATTGGGTTTATACCCCGCCCTTCACTAACCGAAGGAGTCTCAGAGTGGCTCACAATCTCCTTTCCCTTCCCCTCCCCACAACAGACACCCTGTGAGGTAAAAGAAGAAGAGAAGATTGGATGTATACCCCGCCCTTCACTACCCAAAGGAATCTCAGAGCAGCTTACAAACTCCTTTGTGAGGTAAAAGAAGAAGAGATTGGATGTATACCCCGCCCTTCACTACCCAAAGGAATCTCAGAGCAGCTTACAAACTCCTTTCCCTTCCCCTCCCCACAACAGACACCCTGTGAGGTAAAA